TATCCTTCCTGGGGGTTTATAATTCCACTGGAGGGATTCAGATATCCTTCATAGGGGTTTATAAATCCACTGGAGGGATTCAGATATCCTTCCAGTTGTTTTATAATTCCACTGTAGGGATTCAGATATCCTTCCAGGTGGTTTATAATTCCACTGTAGGGATTCAAATATCCTTCCAGGTGGCTTATAATTCCTTTGGAGGGATTCAGATATCCTTCCATGTGGTTTATAATTCCACTGGAGGGATTCAGATATCCTTCCAGGTGGTTTATGATTCCACTGGAGGGATTCAGATATCCTTCCAGGTGGTTTATAATTCCACTGGAGGGATTCAAATATCCTTCCAGGTGGTTTATAATTCCACTGGAGGGATTCAGATATACTTCGAGGGGTTTATAACTCCACTGGAGGGATTAAAATATCTTTACTATGTGTTTATAATTCCATTGTAGAGATCTGAAATTATAAACCCAATGGATGAATATCTGAATCCCTCCAGTGGATTTTTAAACCCCTAGGAAGGATAACTGAATCCCTCCAGTGGAATTATAAATCCTTAGGAAGGATAACTGAATCCCTCCAGTGAAATTATAACCCCCTAGGAAAGATATCTGAATCCATCCAGTGGAATTATAAACCCCTAGGAAGGACATCTGAATCCCTCCAGTGGAATGTTAATCACCCTGCGTAAAGTTTTAAATTGGTAAAACGCATTTTTTGAAACCCCTCCAGTGAAAATAAAATCCCTCCGGTGGTCTCCAGTAGAATCGAAATCTTACTATACGGACTTCTTTGAGTCGATGTATTGGTTTAATTTGATAGACCGCATTTAAAAAACTCGTTTAAAGGTAAATCAGTTTATTTGGCAAAGAAAAAAAACATTTGTAAAATTTGCACAGAAAAGGAATTCCATGAATGTACAAGACTATTATCCGTACTGCAATCTTATTTTAAGTACGTCTATTCCATTGTTAGTAACCCTGTATGTGTCTTGTTTCGATCGTATATATTCAAATACTCTATTTGAATGATTTATGTATTTATATTCTATTTTTATTACTATAATGAGGACTGATGACACTAGGAAAAGTCAAATTATATATATTTACTAGAATCAATCTGATAAGGCTTATCATAGTTAAATATTGTTTTTTTTTCTATAAATAGCACGCCCGTTTAACAACGGTCAAATTAAAAGCTATGTCTGATCTCAGGAATGAATGTTGATATCCATGTTTTTGTTTTGAAAACTAGGGTTAATGAAAAACTACGAGAGGAAGGATGTAAATCAACTTTTTTTGTCGATTCCCCTTAACCAATAGAAATAGTATGGCGGTAACATCTATTCTTCTATCTCATTATCCAATCAGAGTTATGAATCCTTCAATTGGCGCAAAGGTTTAGGGTGAGTTAAATGCAAAGAGAATAGAATATATATTAGAGAGGAATTTAGACAATCCTTTGTTATGAATTTTGTCAGTCCCTTTCAGCCTGAAGTGTACAAGTGTTCAAATCATGTAAATGTTCACAAATTATATGCAGTAAAGTACATTAATACAGTATGTTCCTTAGACTATTCATTTCAATTTCGAATTTTTTAAAGCTGGTAAATAAACTTGATAAAATGATTTAGGTGAATAAAAAACATAATTTGACTTACAGTTAAAACGGAAAATCATCGTTTGTAAAGTGAAAGTCATAGAGTCAATGAGTAATGATCATTGATCAATTATGAAACCAGCCTATTTCATAATTTGGTTTTCTTTTAATATTAATTTTAGATTTTCTTTAAAATGATGTTCCAGGGCTCAAAAGGTTATATAGATATGTGAAGTACACCTACAGTATGAAAACAGTACAGCAAAAATAATGGCCGTTTTACACTTTTTTCTAGTAAATTCCCCTCTAATAAATGTTCTATTCTCCTTGGTTAAATGTGTATTGGAAAGCGTTTATATATATATATATATATATATAATAAAGGCTGTTTTATAATTTCATCCTTTCATAAACAATCACATCGTCATGTCAACCAAACATACTCACTGGAACTAGTCTTGGGCATTTTATACATTATTTTAACATTCAAGGTTTTTTCTCTTTCAGCTATAGCTTCACAAAAATTTTAAAGGTAGCCGCTCAAAAATAAGCAAGTAGCCCCTCACAAAAATCTTCAGGTAGCTCAACAAAAAATTTACAAAATGTTTAAAGTCTAAAGTAAAAACAAGTCGCACTTCATTATTGAAACATTTTAAAAATCATTGAGGTCTAAATGATCCACTTTAAGAGTAACAGTTTTTTATGTGTTTATCTTCTCAGATTTTTGGAGCCGAACCAAAAATATTATCGATCCTCTGCACTAAGTTTGGAATCTAGTCTTTTACTTAAACTTTAACAACTGTGATTAGTGGCAGTCACGAAAGTGACGTCTCTAGACCAAGTTCCACCCCTTCTCGTACTGCAGAACACGAAGATAAAAACTAAAACGAATAATTCTACTGTAAAATAATTGTATTTAACCATACAAGAATTGTTTAAAACGTACTTTAAACGTAGTTTAGTTTAGTTTAGTTTAGTTTAGTTTAGTTTAGTTTAGTTTAGTTTAGTTTAAAGCTTAGTTTAGTTTAGTTTAGTTTAGCTTAGTTTTAATTTAGCTTAGTTTAGTTTAGTTTAGTTTAATTTAGTTTAGTTTAGTTTAGTTTAGTTTAGTTTAATTTAGTTTAGTTTAGCTTAGTTTAGTTTAGTTTAGTTTAGCTTAGTTTAGATTATTTTAGTTTAGTTTATTTTAGTTTAGTTTAGTTTAGTTTAGTTTAGTTTAGTTTAATTTAGTTTAGTTTAGTTTAGTTTAGTTTAGTTTAGTTTAGTTTAGTTTAGCTTATTTTAGTTTAGTTTAGTTTATTTTAGTTTAGTTTAGTTTAGCTTAGTTTAGTTTAGTTTAGTTTAGTTTAGTTTAGTTTAGTTTAGTTTAGTTTAGTTTAGTTTAGTTTAGTTTAGTTTAGTTTAGTTTAGTTTAGTTTAGTTTAGTTTAGTTTAGTTTAGTTTAGTTTAGTTTAGTTTAGTTTAGTTTAGCTCTGATTCTAGGGCGGGGGATTTACCGCAAAAAGTAGTGTTAATTTATTCCTAAATAATCCAAAGAATTCATTTTATAAAATGAGGAACCTAATAAAATATATTTTATCTCGCCCACAGATTTTTTTAGGCATGGGCATTTTCCGTTGGAAAAAATAAGATTCATAGAAATAGTAACTACTTTACTGAACTTCAGAAAAAAGGAAAAAATTTGAAAATGTTAAAATTCTCATGGATTTTCTACTTTTCCATTCTAATCTCCCCAACCTTGGGCAAAGGTAACATTTGGATATTTTTTGATGCAAGAAGGTTTGGTAAATAAAATTTTTTTTACCAAAATTTGAATTTCCAATTATTTAGGTTTCAAAGAATTTATTTCCCAAATTATTAGTCTCCCATTTATTAGATACCATAACAGTGGACACCAAATTTTCGTTATCAAAAATCCACACATCATTTTCCGTATTTGAAAGATATTTGCGAACTAATGCTATAGTAAAAATGGGTCTGAAAAAATTGGGTTAGAAAAAGGTTAATTAAGGTTCTAAGAAATTATTTTTTTATATGAAATAAGGATTAATTTTATAGCTGCTATATTTTATTTTAAAATATCACTTAATAAAGTAGGATGTAACCCTTTTTTATTCATCGTAAATGCAAAAAATAACTGTAATTAATAACCAACTCCATAAATTGTTCTCAAACCCATAACTATCCAGATACAATTTGGTTTCACTTAGCTTTCAATAGCTATCAGTGTCAACCAGGACACAAACTCGTAATGGACCAACGCCAAGTCAATTGGCCCAATCAGCTATCAATGTCTACACGGACACAAGCACATAATCGATCAACACCAAACCAATGGGTGCGATTAGCTATTAATGTCTCTCCAGGGACACAAGCAAACCAATGGGCATGATCAGCTATCAATGTCTATAAGGACACAAGCACATAATCGATCAACGCCAAACCAATGGGTTCGATCAGCTATCAATTTCTATAAGGACACAATCATATAATCAATCAACACCAAACCAATAGGCATGATCAGCTATAAATGTCTTAAGGACACAATCACATAATCGATCAACGCCAAACCAATGGGCCCGATCAGCTATCAATGTCTATACGGACACAAGCAGGTAGTTGATCAATGCAAGACCAATGGGCGCAATCAGTTATCAATATTTCCTTAGGGACACAATCACTAAATGGGCGAGCTCAGCTATAAATGTCAACACGAACACAAGCATGCGATTATCAATGCCAAACCAATGCGCACAATCTTCAACTCATTCATTTAGAACAAGGACATGATTACTCTCTCGTAGTAATCAAAGCGGAGTCTCTATATCAACTAATGTATTTGAGGTTTATATGTTACAAGTTAAAGTTAACAGACGTAATTACAATTCCTACGTCGTTATCTATATCATATGATTCAGACACTCATGTTACATAGTTAAAATAGGCGCAATTAAGATGTATGTCGTTGTATATCACATGATTAAGCTATTCATGCTATGTATTTATTTGAAGCACAGTTGAAATGAATAATGGGTTTTACGTAGAAGTTTACAAAAGTAGATAGATAGTAGTGCACAACGTAGTTTAGGTTTACAGATATTGTGTTACACAATATTTATTACATACCTTTCTCATTGTTGGTGAAATAAAGGTTTAAAGAGTAGTGTTGCTAATCAATAATCATGCTATGCAGATATAAAACATATATAGATATTTAGCATTTTTGTTCTGTCAATTTTACTGGAGAAATTAGGAAATTTCGTCCAGATTTTAGTTTTTTAAGTTAAAACCAAAATTGTCGAAATCTTAGGGAAATTATTCATGTCTCGGCTGTAATATTATTAAAAGCACAAAAAGGCAGACCACATTTTTGAAATGCCAAGACTAGGGGTATTTTGTGAATACCAGCTTTAGAATTCTACTTCTAAAATCTGGCTTACTAATAAATGTTAAAATTATTTTAAAGATCGAAGACGACCTTCAAGTTGTCTTAAAAATGTCATGTTTTGTAGGAAATCCTGTACCGCACTTTAAAAGAAATGTCACATAAAATTGTATCCCTTTCATTTATTACAGTGATAGGCGATTATATCACTCAATGAAGACGACTTTTTATATAAGTTTTGAGAAGCTTTTTTAATTGACAGCTTCTCTTTACTTATATGTTTATGCTGTTTAACAGCTTAATATAAATCAAAATTTAAATCGAAAGTCGTCTTCATTGAATTGATATAATCGCTTACCACTGTATGTTATATGTAGATTGCAAACAACCATCTAAAGGAAGTAATATGGACTGGAACCAGGATTCTAGAAAAGAAGGAGCAACATTTACAGCAACATGTCACCCTGGGTATTTCTTTGTACGATTTTCAAAAAAATATTCCTCTAAATCTGCTACTTGTATGAATTGGCGCTTTGGTGAATATTGGCAATACGATGATGGCACTACTGGAAATGACGTTGGGGACTGTGAAGGTTTATAGTTCCTTTAATACTTCTACTATACACTGTTATGAGGACATTTTTGCATTACATAACATATACATATCAATCAGTTTTATGAATATACTGTTTATATAAATTCTGATGGAAGGATATCTTTTGCAAAGTATAAAACACTAGGCTTGTAGGGCGCTTCGCGCCCATTTTCTTTTTCAACTTTTAATTGTGGCTTTATCTGCATCTTCTCTTTGTATAGAATAAAAAGTTTTTTTTTAATTTACGGAGTTCATAATATTTTTTCGCGCATTTTGCAAAATTGTACAAAATTAAATAATTTAAGATAAACATATTACATATTAAAGTCTGATTGGCCATAAACCTTCCCTGGGGCCACGTGAGGTCCCACGCAAAATTTTGCCAGATCGGTTTAGCTGTTTTGACGTTTATGGGATACAAACAAACAGACAAACAAACAAACAGACACACAGACAAGTTAAATTGATATATAGATAATGTTGCTACAATGCAAATTCAAATCATGTGTTGAAGACTTCTTTTCTTATTAGTCACTAAAAAAACACTCTTTTTGGCATTGTAGCACTCACCGTAGTTAAATTTTGAAAATTTTGTACATTTTCAAAATTCTGGAACATTCCTGATCTTTGAATATTAATCAGAATCAAACTAGACTTTCTTTCTTAAAAAATTTAGCATGTACTTTTGGCTAATGCCCACCTATACACGTAAAAGAAATTCGGGTTGGAAACTAATTTTAATTTTATAATTTTATATGTGGTCTGTTTTTTTTAATCGACATACATTTTTCGTGGATTTTCCCCGCTTTGTACTAAGTTTGATTGTAGTATAATCATTCTGCCTGGGCTTCATATTTTTTGGTAAAATATCTTTTTCGATATAATCTTATCTCACTTTAACCAAACATTCCATATCTAAAATTCACAATTTAGGTTTTGGTACCTTCCAACCACCTAAAATATATGAACAATCCCTCTATTAGAATTACTAAATTATTTTCATATAGTTTTGATAGATTTGATCCAAAATATTAAAGGTCCCATAAATATTTAATGGCCTTTGTACTTATTTTTCATAATTAGCTTTTCCACACATTCCAATGTTCAAGGGTGTTTTAATATACAATGGAATGGTAGAAAACTTGAAAACCATGTTTCGAAATAAACAATGTTGGTGACTCATAGAAATAGACAAGTACAGAAAATGTAAAAAAAATCTACTTCTGTATTTAGCAAACGGCTGCTCTCCTTCAATAAATCTGGGAAGGCAAATGACTTCAGATATCTCCTCTTCAAGAACTGATGAGGGAAATATTTTTACAGCCACATGTAATACAGGGTATGCATTCTTCAGAAGTTCAGGAGGTTCATTTACTACCTACTAAAGTTGGAACCTGTACCAAGGGAAGCAGCAGTTATTACTGGAAGTATGATGATGGATCTAACAGCTTGGGGGATTGTGATAGTAATTATTTTTTTTCATTTTAATTCACTTTCATTAATTTTAAACATTTTTTTTTGTAATTTATCAATTATCAAAGAACTTTTTAAAATAACATTTGGGTGTATGATACTCTGGTTTACCTTATCCAATCCTAACAAAAACTATCAAAAAAAGTCATAACTAGTACAAATAATGTTTTTGTTTAGTTTTAATGATTTGATAACTTTAGTCCCGAAAACTTTCCACTAAAACCTATTATTTCATATTTTATTTATTAGCTTTAAAATTTATTTCATGAATGAATAAAAAAATCAACAAAAATATGTAAAAGAAAACTTAAGGTTGAAATGCAGTTTCAGATTTAATGCTTTTATACAGTGTATTAGCATTTTTATCATATTTGGTGTAAAATCTTTGCAAAACAGTTACTCGCATAATTTAGCATACTTCTGTTTTCAGGAACCGGCTGCTCTCCTTCCATAAATCTGGGAAGGCAAATGACTTCAGATATCTCCTCTTCAAGAACTGATGAGGGAAATATTTTTACAGCCACATGTAATACAGGGTATGCATTCTTCAGAAGTTCAGGAGGTTCATTTACTACCTCCAAAACTAAAGTTGGAACCTGTACCAAGGGAAGCAGCAGTTATTACTGGAAGTATGATGATGGATCTAACAGCTTGGGGGATTGTGATAGTAATTATTTCTTAATTATCAATCAATTGAACTTCATATTGTCCTAATAACATTCCGTAGTTTTAAACCTAAAGTGAACATGTTCAGTTAGAAATTTTTGAAGAAACATTCTTGTACAGAGAAATTGGATCTTTTAATTATCAGAAAAAAATATTAACATCCGAAAAAATGTTTAAAAAATAACTAATATATCTATTTTTAAAAACATTACACTGTAAAGCTGAAATAACTCTTGAGATTATGAAATATGGTCTACTAATTAAAATATAAATTTTAGCTGAAAACTGTCCCTCACCTCTACCTCTTGGTCAAGAAATGACTTCTGATTTCACTTCTACACTCTTTAGAAGTCAGTTTACAGCAACATGCAATACCGGATTTGCATTCTTCAGAAGCTCTGGTGGAAATACATTTACAGCTTCTACAACTAAAACTGTGACATGTAACTATAGGTCCTCCTCCTCTACCACTTTATGGGAATATGATGACAATACCAGTAGTTTAGATAACTGTATAGGTAATAATTAAGAACAAATTGAACCATTAATTTATCAGTAAAAACCAGATTTTAAAACTTAATTGCTTTTATTTTAAATTTCACAATTCCTAATTCCCATTTGTAAAATTATAGAATCTTATTTATTTTTTTTTAGGCGCGTAAATAAATATTTTCTGGGAGGGGGGTAAATTTTAACATTGCTATTTTTTTAACCCCCCTAGATTTTTTACCCCACCCCCTAGACCATGTACAACCCAAACCATGATGTATATCAAATTATGGGTTTTAGTAGTTTTAGCTAGATTTCATTTCAGTTTCTCAATAGTTTCTGGAATTAACAAACTCTTTCAAATAAAAGGCTCCCTTTAACCTTTTGCCTTAATTTGTACCCTAAAGGTTGTCCATTTTAAAATAGCAAATCCACCAATATGAAAAATGATGATCAATATATATACACCACTAGCTTTTCTGCTATTTCATTTATTCAATGAGGCCCCAACCTATATTTCAAGCTATATTCAATTCAATTGCCAATTATCAAGGCAAGATCTACGCTCGTATGTTTCAAATAGAACCAAAGCTATGTTCCAAGCTTAGTATTCTTCTAAAGCTAAGTCTCAATCAACAAACTTTATTCAATATCAAAAATTACAAAGTTAACAGGAATTGACGTAATTCAATTCCAGCAATGTTATTGATATCACATGATTAAGACCATAATTTTAAGTATTTATGTATTTATCGCACAGTTAAAGTTTAATGGTACATATTAATTGGATTAAAGAGAATAGATGTAAGGCAGTTAATCTATCTCTGTCCATATTATGTTAGGTATTCAATTAAAACACAGTTTCAATGAATAATGTCATTGTCCTAAGTTTGGAACATTAAATCATTTGTAATGTACAACATACTGCAAGTTTACAGAATATCATGTTTACAAGTTTTTTGCTTCACATATATTCTACCTGGGGTTTACACTACTTATAGGTGCAAAGATTTAGGGATTAGAATATTTGAGTTTGCAGGCAAAAACTCAGTTCCAAATCTAGAGATGTTTTTTTTTAAGAATATATAAATGATTATTCCTTGTAATCATATCTGTAATTAAACAAGGTACTTAACAAATTTTCTTTGGCGCTCCGCGCACACATGAAAAGAACTGATTAACTTATATCATTAATTTTATAGTTGTTGAAAGTATAAATTTTTAAAAACACAAGAAAAAAACGATTTGAATTGAACACAGCCAAATCTGCATGCAACAACTGAAAATTTCCTTTTCTTTGAAATCAAACCAATAAAAAAGTACTTTTATTTTGAAAAGAATTTCTAAAGGTGGGGGGGGGGGGCAAGTCCCCCCAGACCATTACAAAACAATATTTTGCCCCTCCCTAGCAAAAGTACTAATTGCGCCTCTGGCCATTGTGACGTTTATGGGATACAAACAGACAAGCAAATTAAATATATATTAGATTAAGGACATGAAAGAGGAGTGGATGAAAATGGTACATAGGTTCTACATCAAAAATTACTGTGCCAATTATAATTAATCTTTAAGGGCCTTAAAGATGACAGAGAAAGCTTTTGGAGCTAGTTTTTCTCATCCAATCACCCAGCTTAAGTTTAAAACTGATGAGTGAGAGCGTTTTTTTTTCTAAAGTATAGATATATGTTAATTTCACTATATGAAAAGAGAAATATCTTACTTTTTAAAATTCAATTCTTAAAAATCTTGATCTTTTAACATTATATTTTGCCCCCCCCCCTGAAGAGCTTTGTTCCTAAATTGACATACAGTGCAAGTACGTTACTGCATTAAATACTTGATTTTTCCGTAAGATTTATCAATGTTACTTTCTTAGGTTGATTAGTAATATTATCTGCGAGAACGGCAACATTTTTAAAGCATTTTTCCTCTTAATGGTTATCATGGACATGGAGATCGGAGATCAAGTTTCTAAACGGGGATGTTCATGTCCCCAAGATTCTAGGGGGGGGGGGGTAATTACCCCAAGTATTAGAGGGGGGGGGGGTAAGTAACCCCAATTACCCCTTTTATTAAGGCCTTTTTTTCGTTTATCTAAATATTGTTAATCTGGTATTATTTCCACTTAATTTATATATTAACCAAAAGGTTTCCACACATAAACAGTAAGAAGAGAATCAGAAATCTTTCTTGTTTTGTTTGTCAATTGGAGCAGCTGGGATGGAATTAAAATGACTAATTAAATATTTTAATTGTATTTTGTACGGTACTAAGCTTCCAGTTTCCAGGCGGGAATAGAAGAGTTTAACTGTTTTAGAATACTGTTCTTCTCCAATTCCCACAACACCTGGACTATCTACACTGACTAATTCTCTGGGTAATGGGAAAAATATAGTTGGTCAAGTACTAACCTATACTTGTAATACTGGATATGAGTTCAAGACTGCAATTCCTGCCAGCTCAACTAGTCAAGGTTAGCTTTGAACAAACATCATAATCAGATCCTGAGTTGATGATTGAATAATAATAATTATCTATTATTTTAGATCCAGTACTTACAAATGTGATCAAATCAACCTGTACTAGTTCTGGAAGCGTAATTCGACAATGGGTTTTAGACTACAGCCCATTGCCAGCAACTTGTGAAAGTACGAAAATGTATTTTAATTTCTAGAATTTATAAAGTAAAGTTAAATAAAATCCTTAAAAAATATGATTTTAATATTTAGAAATTGTCTGCCCTGACCCTGGAACATTGTCAGTTCCAAATGGAATAGTCTCAAGTAATACTGTGGTTGAATATCAAGATAACATCAAGTAATTAATTAAAAAATTTAAAAACTTTAACACTCGTTGGGGATTCAAACAAATAGTTTATTGATTTTCATAAAAAATTAGCAGTGATGAATTTAATTCAATTGGATGTCAACCTATACCTTTTTTCATTTTTTTGTTAACATTTTCTTTAATTAATAATTTTTAAACACTAGACTCCCAAAAAATTGTTTTCAGTTGGGAGTGTAGTGATAAAAGATATTATTTGAAAAAGAGTGGTTCTTCATCAACATCTGCGATAAAAACATTTACATGTAGAAGTGATAAAACATACTCTGAGAATATTGGGGATTATTCATGTGTCCCAAACTTTTGTGAAAACCCTATAATACCAGAACAGAGTCTTAACTTTACATATTTCTGGGATAATCAATACATAAACATGGGTTCTGACTTTACATACAATTGTAACAGTAATCATGCTCTTGAGGATAATGTTGATAAAAGATCTGATGCAGATAACTCTATCAAAGTCAGATGTAACTTTAGTGGAGAATTAGAATATCCCTCACCTTGGCCACAATGCTATGATAGAGTTTCCTGTGGATCTCCACCAGAAATACCAATTAATGGAACCAGAGTTTGGATTCAGAAACCTGAAGGTGATACTTTGTATGAAGCCAAGATTAACTACACCTGTAAACCAGGTTTCAAGTTTGACAACAATAATGATGGAACTGGAGATACTCCATATGTTGAAACTGAATGCTTGTGGAAAAAGTCTTGGTCAAAAAACTTGCCAACCTGTATAGCCACACATTGTCTTGAGCCAGCAACTCCGAACTCTTCTCTGAATTTTAATTATTCCTGGGATCAAGAATTGGTTCCTGTTGGAAATAATTACACATATTATTGTCAATCTAATATGGCCATTGAAAGTGCTACTAACAATAAATCAGAAGCACTAAACTTTGTTCATATGAAATGCAACTCAAGTGGTGAATATGAATATCCATTAACATGGCCTCAGTGCTCTATGACAATTCAATGTAATTCTCCAGAAGAAGCTCCCATTAATGGAACAAGAGTCTGGATTAAAGGTTCTGAAGGGGATACAGTTTATGAATCTAAGATTAATTACACTTGTAAACCAGGATCTCAGTTTGACACAGATGAAAATGGATTTGGAGACACCCCATTCCTGACAACAGAATGTCTTTGGAAAAAGTCATGGTCAAAAAAGCTACCAACCTGCAAAGTAACTCACTGCCTTGAGCCAGCAACCCCAAACTCTTCTCTGAATTTTAACTATTCTTGGGATCAAGAATTGGTTCCTGTTGGGAATAATTACACATACTTTTGTCAGTCTGATATGGCCATAGAAAGTGAAACTAATAATAAATCAGAGGCATTGAATTATTATCATATAAAATGTAATCCAAGTGGAAACTATGAATATCCTGTGATATGGCCACAGTGTTCTATGACAATACAGTGTGAATCACCACCAAATGCCACATTTAATGGAACAAGAATATGGACTCAAGGAACAAACAGTTCTACAGTTTATGGAACTAAGATAGAATATTCTTGTAAACGAGGATCTCAATTTGACACAAACAAAGATGGATTTGGAGATAGTTTAACTATAGTAAATGAATGTCTATGGAAAAAACAATGGGGCCCTTGGCCAGTTCTTCCACTTTGTAAAATAACTCACTGCTTGGAACCAATAACACCAGGGCAGACCTTGAATTTTAACTTTACTTGGGGTAATGATATGGTAGCTGTAGGGGATAATGTGACTTACAACTGTCAAACAGACATGGTTTTTGAAGCTAACACAACCTTAAAATCAGAATCAATTTCATTTATCAATTCTACATGTAACCCAGATGGAACTTATTCTTATCCTACGATATGGCCACAATGTTCAGCAACCATTTCTTGTGGAATTCCACCTCTAGTACCAGTAAACGGTTCTAAGATTTGGATTAATGGAACTGAACCAAATGATACCTATAATACTGGTATTCTATATAAATGTGTAAATGGCTCTAAATTTGACACTAATGGTGATGGAATTGGTGACAGTGATAATGTAACAGTTGATTGTCAGTGGAGGAAAGCCTGGAGTCCTTGGCCTATTCTTCCTAAATGTATTGTAACACATTGTGTTGATCCATTCCCCATACCTGGAGATTCAGATTTAGAAGAGGTTAATACTGGTTGGGTTCCTATTAAAACCTTAAAATGGTATCAATGTAAGGGAAAACTTCAAAATGGAACAAATACTAAATTTTTTGAATCAGACAGATCACTAACATCCTTTTCAATGCTATGCTTGTCCAATGGATCCTTCAAGTTTGATAATTTGAGACAAAACTGGCCAACATGCTTAAGTACTGTACATTGTGGGCAACCCCCAAATGCAACTGAAAATGGAGTTAGAACTTGGATAAATGGTATTGAATTCAAAGAAACTTATGGCACAAAAGTTTCATACCAATGTGTAAAGGGTTCTCAGTTTGACACCAATGGAGATGGTAAGGGAAACAGTCTTTCCATTGTAACAGAATGTATGTGGAACAAAACTTGGACTCCTTGGTCTGTTTTACCGAAGTGTGTTATAACACATTGTGTTGATCCTTTTCAAATACCTTCAAACACATCTTTAGAGGAATCATCTTCAGCTTGGACAGAAATAAACAAAAATAAAGAATACAGATGTTCTAGAATGCAGAATGGCAAGCACACACAGTTTTTCCAGTATGATCGATCCAAATCATCTTTTTCAATGAGATGTCTAGAAAATGGAACATTTGATTTTTTGAATAGTACAGAGAACTGGCCTATTTGTTTAGAAGGTAGATTTCTCAAAAAGAATTTTTTTTGTATTCATTGATTAATGTTCAGTTAGATCCAATCATTTAAATGTTTACTAGATATTGAATGTGAAAGGCTTCCTCCAAATATTCCAACTGATCCAGAATACTTAGAACCTGAAAATGATGGAAAAGTCCTCATAAATAAGTTGGATTACCCGGTAGGAACTCCACATAATCTAGTTTTCAGATCAGACAGAAATAATACAGAGATTGCAAGAAACTATATGGCGAATCTGACGTAAGTTATTTAAGTTTTTTGACAATGTTTTAAGAAATTAATTTTAACTTTGTCTGTATAGGTATTACTGTGGATCTGCTAGGCAATTTTTGGATAAAAGCGGTGTTCACCATGATATCCATAGAATGACTTGTCTTTGGGATAGAAACTGGACTGCAACCAATGTTCTGGACCCTTGTGACTGGGTTCAGTGTCTAAAGCCTCCAAATCCACCTACTTTTACAAACTTGAGGGTAACTGATTGGGATGGAGAGCCCATTAATTTTGGGGATAAGATAACATATGTTTGTGAAAAAGGATATCAATTTGAAGACGACCAATACCAGGTCAGTATTTCATATCAATGCCAAGATGGATTAAAACCTAAAACAATCCGTGGGTTCTTTAATACTCCTGCAACAGATGATCAATGGCCCAAATGTACCAAAGGTAATGATAAATAGAACATTTAATAGACATTTTTGAACATCAATTTATTCAGGTCCTCTTTGTGTAACCCCACCTAATCCACCATTTGAGGGATCAGTAGAAAATACTCCAATTATATTTCCAAAGGAAGCGGAAGAATCTTGTCATACTGATGGGTCTCAAGTGAACATTAAGTGTCCATCCTTTCTAAATATATATATAACCTCAGGTTATTATGGAAGAGTTAAAGACACTAACATTCTTTGTGATGGAAATAAAGATTCAGTAACACTGAAGGAAGACTGTGTAAATCTACAGGTAATATAGAATTTATTGGAATTTAAACATTTCTATGATATTTCTTGTTATAGGTTGTTGAATCCTCTAGAACAACTTGTATTTCTAAATATAACTGTACAATCCCTGTTGTTACAACAATCCAAACCTGGAAACCACCTTGTGACAAGAAACAGAAGAATCAGTTAATGTTAAATTATGTTTGTGGTAGGTGTTTAGTTAGTAGTATCCCTTTCTAGTTTAAAATAACTGTTTTTCTAGTTCGATGTAGGGATTGGGATATTGATGCTTTGGATCTAAATTGTGTCTTCAAAGCATTGACGTTGAACTTATGGAGAACTGCAGCAGATCTTATAGATGTAACTAAAGAAGATATGAAAACTATTCTTGTGAGCGAGCTTAGCAAGCATTTGGACAATAGTAAACACTCCTTACAAGATTTAAGTGACAGGTTATTTAATATTTTTTTTAATATTTCTGTACTTAGATTTTTCAAAAAACACTTTTAGTAATGCTCAACTTTTAAAGGGAGGTAAGTAAGACTGACGGTTCACTATGCTCTCTGGCTTTTATGCATCTAGCTCTTGTGGATTCAATTAAAACAGAAAGCCAAATGAAAAATTTATCATATGATACAATGAAGGAAGTTATTGTGGAAGAAATAATGAAAGTTAAAAACCTCAATAGTTCAACTTATGATGTTAACCAGAAGGATGAAATTCATCTGAAAATGTTTAAACAAGGTGAATTTGAATTTGAAACCATGATAATTTTTTAAAAAAGAAACATGAAAACATGACAACATAATAAGCTCTATGATAAACTGTATCTTGGAAATAGTATCAATAGAAATCAATATTTAGTTGTATGTGGTGACATACCAGTTAAATCTAACTCAGTTGGTTCCATTCCAACTCTGAATGCTGGAGATTCTGAAGAAAACAGAAATAGAAGAGTATATGGAACTAATCTTAGGTAATTATATGAAAGATTAAAAAAACTGTTAACAATCTTGATGTTTATTTGTTAGATATGAATGCGGTGTAGCCAGAAAATTTTTAAGTAAGGAAAGTAAAAAAACCTATGATGAGAGATGGATGACCTGTAATTGGAATACTAGCTGGACACCAACAGACACCTTGGAGGAGTGTGTTTGGGTTCAATGCATAAATCCACCAATGGTAAATTTTTGATTAATCATATTCAAACTTCATGATACATAAGATATGACATCAGAAAATCATTTTACTGTAAAGATATCAATTTTGCACTCTAAACATATTTCAGCCTCCTCCTGGAAGTGGGATGTCCTCTATGTGGGACGGAAACCCTGTTGAGTTCAATGCTGGAGTTGGTTACAATTGCACCAAGGGTTTATTCTTTGAGATGAATCGGGATTTGCTCCAGTGGAATCTGACTTGTCTTCCAGATGGATCCTGGAAAGTGCCTGAAGTTTGGCCAAGATGTTTAGCAAGTAAGTAATCCAATGTGTGAAATAAATATTTATTGGATTCATCAAATGTTGGAATCAACTTTTTATCAACATTTCAGAATTACCAAAATAATATTGTCTTTTGAATTCGGGCATCCAGTTTTCAAAAGAGCTGAAGAATTTAGAGTCATGGTTCCAGGAGTCAAGGGTGGGCAAATTGGGTTCATTAAATTAACTTTATATTAACATTTCAGAATTACTAAATAATACTGCATGTTTGGAATTTGGGAATCCAAAAGAGCTTAATAATTTAGTGGAAGGAGTTTATGGCACCAGGATTCAAGGGTGGGAAAATTGTGACAAAGCCTACATTTTTGAAATATTAAAAATTAGTTAAAGATGAATTATAATCATGCATTATGTGATGTAGCTAAACCATCTAATGAATTCATTAGTTTATTTTATTTAGTTTGTTCCCTAGAATCCTGAATATTTTCCAAGAAATTTGTTAACAAACATTGAATATTCTAGATGTAAATTGTACGGAACCACCACCACGCCCCTCTTCAGGAACCTGGGAATGGAATCAGTCATATTCATACAAAACTCGGATCCAGTATACTTGTGGACCATTTGGGAAGTTTAAATCTTCAAGTGGAGCCTTAGAGGCTTCTACTATAGCAGAATGTAACTGGAATAAAACTTGGACTCCTCAGAAACTAGATCCTTGTCAGGGTTAGTTCTATTCTATCATAAGTGTTACGGATTGAATGTTTTATCAAATAAGTTCTGATCTTTATTGTTGAATATTATTGTTACATATTGTTTTTTTTATTTTGGCACTTGTTATAAAATTTCCATTTAATCTCTTTTGATTTAATATACCTCTGTATTTGGTCACAACACAAAAAAAATGTTGTTCTTATGTATATTTAATTGTAAAAAAACCATTTTCTGTTTGAAGCTACACGATGCCAAGATATCCCTGCCCCTCCTCGAAGTTCTGGACTTGTTTATAAACCAGATCCTAAGAATCCTCTCCCTAACTCAGGTAATATGATTTAGACTTATTCAGAATTTACTGCAGAACTTATGAACCATATGTTCCTGAGATATAAATAAATAGCCCTCTATTATTGTAGGTGTCTGTCTATACAGTCCTGATATTCCAGCCAAGCTACCATTTCCAGGAGAAAGCTTTTGTTCTAAAAACACCAAGCTGATGATAATTGGAAATATCCCTAAAACAGTAAGATCTGTTCCGGCATTATTGGTTGCTTCTAATATGAGCAATGAAGGTATCCATATAAACCTAAACTTGAAGAATAAGGTTATAGAAAGATACAGTGTAGTTAATGGAACTAAATCCTCTATTGATGGATTGCCTGGTGATGGAACTAGTATAGATTATGATGAACCCTTTGTTCTAAATCTCAGCTGTGATCAAGATGGATGGATTCTACAGATTAACAACGAACCAAGTTATCTGACTGTTCTACATGCTGTACCAGTAGATAACCTTACAGAGATCAGAGTAACTGGTGATATTGTTGTCAACTATATTGGAATTGGAGATAAAGGTAAAACCGGAGAAAGAGATTGCATAGTTTTAATAAATTGCTCAATGTTTAAAAATGAAGGATTTTTGACCCAACAATTGATTAAAAACCAGAAATAAAATTCCAGAATCTTTGAACTTCAATAAATCAGTTAAAAACAGTAAATTAGATGCATTAAACTGATCTTAGCTAAAACCTTTAGATCTGGTCATTTACTTGAAAATTGCCAGTCATAGCTGATGTTATGATGTTACCTGTTTTTTCACAAGTAGTGAATTAATTCATATTTATAAGGAATTTAAACCCCCTATATTACAATATTACAATTGTCTTTGATCGTTAAAATAGTTTCTGGCATCCAATTATGAATCTAATTTAACATATATGATTTATGAAAAAATAATCACAAAAAACTATAGTCCTGCACCTTTCCTAAATGTGGAATAAATTCCTTTCATTCAATATCAGCCTACAACATCTTTTATTTTTTCATGTTCTTAGTTAATGTTGTTGTAATAACAATACTAATGATATCATTATTTATAGATCAAGATCCTGTACCTCCTGTTGGGTTTAACCTGACCTATATTTGTTGTAATAACAATACTAATGATATTATTATAGATCAAGATCCTGCACCTCCTGTTGGGTTTAACCTGACCTATATTTGTTGTAATAACAATACTAATGATATCATTATTTATAGATTAAGATCCTGCACCTCCTGATGGATTTAACCTGACCTATATTTGTTGTAATAACAATACTAATAATATCATTATTTATAGATCAAGATCCTGCACCTCCTGTTGGGTTTAACCTGACCTATATTTGTCCGGAGGGACAAGTTTTTGATAGAGATTGGTTTGCCACTCCATTCGTTATGCTGACATGTCAGGTAAAGAAAAAATAGAGAATTTACAATGCGTATATATATAGGATCTTAAAATATTGAAGAAACACCAGTCAAAATTAACATGTAAGGTATAGAAATATGACACTGAAAGAAAAATTGAAATAATTAGTACATTACTTATGAAAAGTATAGTACACTACCATATTAAATGGATATATCGACCTTAGAAATATTCTTCATCATAGGTCCGTAGACGGTAGAGATGTCAACGATAGTGTAACGTAACGTAAAATGTATGTTTTTGTACGTTACGTTACAATAATGTGTAACGTTTGGATATATTCTATATAACGTGAACGTTAAACGTTAACGTTATAGGAGCTCATACCTAACGTTAACGTTAAACGTTAACGTTAGAGGAATATACCCCCAACGTTAGCGTTTTGTGGAAATGTAACGTTATTTTTCTAATATCTACAACTTTTTTGACCATAACGTAAAGAAATGTTTT